AAGCTAAGGAGGAAAGCAATTATTTTGAGCACCATCGGTAGTTGATCATCTCACTCAGTTCACATGGTTTGAGATTATAACAACCCGGTATTAGACTCAATCAACGTTGCTGTTTAATGAAAATACGTTGCATTATGGTTTGTTTATTGTTATAGTTTATTGTTTTAGTCTTTTTACTTATGGTTGCTCTGAAAAGGGCCGTTTGTTTTGAATATTTTCAGGGTTTTTGATGACGTCATCGTCCATACGAGGCGTACGTAAAACCGAGGGTTCGTATAACTGGGGTACGTAAAAACGAGGTTCTACTGTATATATAAATTCACCAGCAACTTGGTCTCTTCTGGTTTTCTGAAGAATTGACGTTGGTATCACTATATTCAAAGATAACACTGTTTCACAGAATTTCTATCTAAAAGTCACTCAATGGTATTCAGGGAAGCACGAAGGGGGATTTATTAGGTTTAAACACCAAGGATAACACACAAAACTTATTTCGAGTGGGGTCCTTCTGGTGGTGATTGGGCAGTACACTGGTAGACAAGCCCCTACTCTTTTCCGAAGAGTGTACTGCGTTCTTGAAAAGCCGGGCACTCACTGCGTTGCACGACCTTCGAACGACGAATCCAACTCCGCTCTCTATGAGCAATAGACGACGGTGGCAGTCTGAACTGATCGTCATTAAAAACAATCCGTCGCGCACGCATTGTCGCATTGCATTCCTTATAGAATCACGTCGGCCCTAGGACCATCGTGCGTAGTTAGTGCTGGCTTTAACACGCATGTGAGCCACAATGCACACAGGGCAAATCGAAACTGAATACAGTTTATTACCTTATAAGAAAGTATATACATACTATACAAGTTTTGAAATGCACACCATCGTGTTGGGATTCAATATTTCGACATGTCATCATCAGTATATTACCTTGAAATGTACATTTTGGAAGATGTGTACTTAAATCATGATTTTCCACTGTTGGTTCCTTTGTTTCATGTTGTTGATCGTCCAGTCCTGCCATGAAGAACTCGTCAAGACCATGTGTATACTGATATTGAGCTTTCCATGCGAGTTTACTAGTATTCACTAAATCAACACTTGGATGTCGTGTAATACCTAAATGCACATAAAAAAATATAAAATTGTTTTAATCTGTAAGATGAATCAAGATTTGTAATGATAATCTTTACATCCTAACACAATGTTTGCAAAAATCGAAAAAGACTTGTAGAGGTCCAAAATGATCAGCTTTACACTACCTAAGCATCAGAGAACAACATAAAGGTCACAAATTATTAGTTATGCCTCTCCCAAACCTCACAATGAGATTTAATTATAGAACATGGTATATGATCAGCTCTCTACTCCCCAAGCACCAAAATGAGACAGTGGTTATACAACATCAAAAATTACAAATTATAAGCCTTTCACACTATAATCACACACCTAGAGACAACGCCCCAAAATGATTTACGTTACAACATTTATCCTCAACATATTATTTTATAACTGATTAAATAATTGTTTACTTATAATTCATAATTTATAGAATTTTGTGTAAGTCACCTGCAAGTTAGATAATACTGGGACTGGGGTTCTCATGGTCCTAAGCAACTTTGGTCTTTAATTAGAAAAAAAGACAGATGTTTATTGGGGCCACAGGAAGGTGGTCTTTAATTGGAGGTGGTTTATAATTGGAGGGGTCTTTTAATTAGAGGGAGACTTGTATTACAAATGATGAAACAACAGGTTTAAAATGGAAGAATGAGAATATCATCATATTTTTAACATAAACAGTAACACTTCTAACTGTTATTTTTAGCCTCACCTGCTGAAACTGGTCTCTTTTTAACCTGCGAGTTCCTGCCATCTGTCTTTGATCTTCTACCAGATGCTTCCTGTTCAGGTTGAGCTGATGCCGGTCTTTTAGGCGTCAACTTCTTGTTCTTTTCTATCCTTTTCTCATTGCGCTGATCACTTTCCAACTGATCTTTTAACGAGGTATCGTCACTTTCAACTTTAGATGATCGCAGTAACTTCCTGTTTCTGCTGCTTGTCCGTTTTTGACCACTGAAATTCTGGGTAGTTTTCCCACTGGTGGTTTTGTCATCTTCCTTATGAGTTATCTGGCTTCCTTTTGAGCTTTTCTTTCTTTGAACAGAAATATTTTTTTCTGGGACCTTTGTTTCTCCAGTCCTATTTTCCTTTGAATTATCTGATGGGGGCCTGGGGAGCATTCTTCTTTTATCTGTAGCTCTTTTCTTTTCTTTCTGTTTTTCAACAACAGTGGATTTCTTTTGCTGATTCTTTATACTTCTTTCACCCCCACCCTTTCCATTGAGTTCACTAGCCTTTGAGGATTGGGTATTCTGATGATTATTCCTAAGGAGATACAAAAAAAAATGTAAATTTCTTAACAAAACTTGTAAAGAAAACCTGGTTAACACAGTAACATAGCAAATTTTGAATTAGGCCAAATAAACAAGTTTGTGTTAATTAGTAGTGTACAAGCCCATCTATGCTTTTGCAGCAAACTTGTTTGGCCTAATAATAATGTTAACTTAATGTCGGTAAAAAAAGTATTGCTACTGAAACATGGAGAGATATAGGAGAGTAAACCAAAAATATAAACAAGCGCAATGGCAGATCCACAAAATCAAAATACAAGGGCCATAGGGTAAGACTTCTACTGATGGAAAGTCCAAATCCATCTCAACCCCCACTCACAGAATTTTATAGCTACTGTATGGTACCTCTGTATGGCCAGAAATGGCTCTCTCAGATTTTGATTTGAATGTCTTAAATGTCTTTTTTTTTAAATGTTAATTTGTTTTTATTTAATTTAAAGGTAGGGGGTGCCCTGAACCATTTTACAAAAAAGGCCTTGACTATGCTTACGCTGAAGTGATCGAAATCCCAACGTGCTGATTGGTTGACTTGGCTGTGCCCTAACCTTAAAACAACTCTCGCTATCTTAATGCACTAAATTTTATCGCAAGCATAGCCACTTTGGAAAAAAAAAAAAACCTTTACAAACCAACCTTGTAGTTGGTTGTTGATGGTGTTGTACACTGTACATTACAGGTGTGGCGTCAGGCTCTTCTTGAACAAGAAACGATGTCTCCTCCTCAACGGCACTGATATCAAGATCCTATACAAATCAAATTCAACATTCACTATTATCAATAAATGGCTTGGGTTTTTTTTTTTCACACCAGAAATCTTTTTTTTTTCACACCAGAAATCTTACCTATAAACAAAATCGAACCTTCCTCCCCAAGGAGCCATTAACAGTGCTTTCTTTGTGAGGTGCATTTCAGTCAGGTCTCATTGGTATTTATTTATGAAATCAGTTCTCACTCTAATTCGAGACCTCTGTATTTTGAGTTCACTTTTCTTCAAAGTACTAACAATATTCAATCTTTTTGACACAAAGCTTACCCCTCTAGCTGGAGACCAAACCCTGAAGTGACCCCAAATTTTCAGGACCCATGTAGCCTAAACAAATTAAGAACTTACATCAGGTAGAGGTGTAATGGTGATCACACTCCTGGATCTGAACTCATTGCCAGCTAAGGATGCGCTAGAGGTTGAGAACAGACTTGCATATCTTAAGTGCTCCTCCTCCAACTCCAGTTTTTCTTCATCATCATCATCATCTACAAAATCTAGCAAGCAAAAACAATATGAGGTTGATGAAGACAAAACATAATAGAGAAGAGTTTCAAGAATAAACAACAACAACAACAACAACAACAATAATAATAATTTCTCTAAATCGAACTTAAAGGGAATACCTTTTGTGTTATTTTCCCCTCTCTAATTTCTCCATTGTCTAATTTCCCCTTAAGGTAGGTTTTAATAACATAATAATAATAATAATAATAATAATAATAATAATAATAATAATAATAATAATAATAATAATAATAATAATAATGATAATAATAATAATGATAATAATAATAATAATAATAATAATAATAATAATAATAATAATAATAATAATATATAAATGAATGAACACAAGAAATTTAGAAACAGTGAAATAAACAAAAAGTGATGGATGATTGAGAACAACATATTGAGGGACGGGAAACAATGGCAAATAGATTAAGACAGTAATTACAAATTTTTTAAATTATCTGTTTTTAAAAATTCTATAATCACTTCTAAAAATACTTTGTTGTGAGTTAACATACAGTTTGTCAACCATTTTAGTGACAAATATTAAAACCAACCATTCATTTGATTGGTTGATCCAGTGTAAGGACTTAGCATCCTAGAGTTAGCATTTCTGTCCAAGTCATGAGTTTGTGTTGGTAGTTCTGGTAGTTTGGTCCTTCGATGTTTCTTGAGCAGTAGTTTATCAGCGTAGCTCATTGATAATTCCTTAAACTCAATCTTTATTTCTTGCTTCGGTGCTTGTTCAGTTCCAGTACCTTCATTTACTGTTGCTACTTCTGAAATCAAAATGAAATTTACAACCATTTAAAATAATAATAAGTTGATGTTCTTATATATACAAAATGATTGTAATTAATCAAAGAAAATCAAACAAGTTCTAGTATGAGAAACAGATAAAAATATGTGATAAAACATAAGTACAATATAACAACATAATACATACAAAAAAATAATATAAAAAACTAGGATAGACCAAAACAAACACATGACATTTTTATTAAAGTATATTTTATACAGTAAAACTATATAGTCCAATTTGATGGTCCCATCTAATCCATATTTATTCATTCAATAACAACAAACGATTATTGACAATACAATTTACAACGTGTGCATATAGAAGCCAATATGGCTTGTCTAAATGACACCTTTAAAAAAAAAAACTACAGAATATACAATACAGAACCAAGTGACATTTATGAGAAATTTCATAGTGGTTAATGGGATTAATATTTCGTCATATGTATTAAATTGAATAAAAACAGAATTGGGGGGAACAAAATTTTACATGAAATTTGTTGGTACATACCTGGCTTAGATTGACGAGGACTTGGGGTGGCTTTGGAGGGCACTCGTGGTTGACCTCTCCACTCAGCTAAGGCCGCAGCAAATGAGGCTGAGCTGTCTTCTTCATTGTACTCACCATCCAATAGAGATGGACCATTCATCACCTGAAGGTGAATTTTTTTTAAAAAGCTTAATTTATACAATTCAACTATAATATAAAGGCAAAAATTTGCTCAAAGTTTGGGGAAGAAAAAGGATAAAGAAACAAGATACTGCCCAAACATCCTCACAGGAATACTAGCTGCAAATGTGGAGTAACAAAACCATCTTATATCATTAAAATATGGTTAATTACATCAGGTTCATGCTGTACCACTGCATTAAAAAACTGTTCAAAAAGTGAAATTCATCTTTAAACAATATATAATAGTGTGTATCTAAATTAGGCATAACAAATAGAGAATAATACTTCCTTATATTAAATTGACTTCCTTATTATTAATAAAATTTAAGAGAAACACCAATTATATTAATAAAAAATGCATTAACAAAATAAATCATGGTTAAAAATATTATTATATAAAACTGATTATATTTTACAAAGAACCTCATACCTGTTCTTGAGACGTCAAAACAGATGAGTTTTGTTGGTGAATAACCATCAAGGCCGGAGACTTTTGTTTAACTACTTGAGAATGATTGGGAGTCCTCTCTATATTCTGGTTGGTATCCAACATGTCAGCCCGGGGACTAAGGGAACCATTGCTAAACAAATCAATTAATGTATTTTATTACTCCGCATCCACAATAATTTTAAAATAGAATATTAGGCTTGCCTTCCCAAAACCAGCATACTGTCTGTCGCTTGTTAAACTGAGTAACAATAGCATAAAAATGTGGCAATATTGTATACTTTTGTATACAATGACGTTTAATGCTTATCGGGCACTGTTCCTGAATATTTAACAAATTTTTACAAATTAATTCATGCCTACCATAGCATAAATACAAGATTTAACTTGAAAAACACTTTAGTCTTACCACAATTGTGAAATGATTTTGGAAAAAGAACTTTTAAATATTGCTCAGTCAAATTATGGAATAATTTATTCCTTTTCCTTAAAATCCTTTAAAAATCTCAGTAATTTACCCATTTGATTTTCTTTTCTGTTTCTTGTATTTATGTAATTTATATACATTTATTTTTCTTCCAATTTTGTCTTGTAATTTAAAATAATACCCTGGATGTCAGGGAAAAACAATGTAACAATACTGACTGAGTATCCATAATAAAGATTTCTATCTATCTAGTAAAATTGGAGAAACTGTAACACTTTTACCATGATTTTACTCATAATATTGGCGATAGCAATTCGATTCAATTAAATCATTTTAAAACTTAAAATGTGGCAAATATGAATATATTAAAAAGTAAATTTTCTTGTTTTGGTCGCAGATGTTGGTTTTGGCATGGTAAGCCCCATATAATTATGCAAAATTGAATCAAAACACTCAAACAAACATAATTAAGTTTAAAAGTGTTTTAGCATGTCACAAGCACTGTAGTATATACTTAAAAATAATAATAATTTAATTATAATTTTTTAAAGAATAATGTACAACCATAATAATATAAACAAAGAGTGTGTATTTGTAATAATATTAATCATTACAATAACATTTAATATTAATTAATCTTATATTCATAGTACAATTTTGTGAAAAATATGCCATATTCAAAATATAGTGTGAAGGTCATGCTTTAACTTACTTTATGCTTTTCCTTAGTTCTTGTCCTGCTTGGTACGGTACAGATCGATGAAGTCTGAGGGCGCCCTTCAAGTGAAATTGTGCAAAGCATGCAGCACAGTATAGTTCTGCACACTCCATGCATGACTATAAATAGAAAAATAAACATTGAAATAAACCAGCAAAGAAGTCATAGGGGTTAAAGTGCATATCTGTGTCAGATTTAGCTATTGTACAAATATTTTAATACTTCTACAATATAAAAATTTCCATAAAATCGCAAAACACTGACGCTGACAGCCTCTTGGCAACGCCGACTGGTCGGTCAAATCAGAAAAGCCTTCACAAATGCATCAGGGACAGGTACGTAGTGTATCGATTGCACTGAAACACTGCAGCAACAGTGTAGCAATTTTATGGAAACCAAGCTGTATAATCATCTTGCTTACCAGTGCTGCAGCCTTTTCTTCGCATTGGCCACAAGCAGGACCTTGGAATGTCTTCCTTGCAGTTACATTCAGTACAGTCTTTGGAGCCCGCTTCACAGTTTCTAAAAGAAAAATAAAAGAAATAATGGTTTTTATTATAATTATTTTAGATGGAGGTACTATGCACACTCAGTCAATAACAAACTTTAATAGGGTAATTTAACCAGAGCCTTGCAGGCGTCAACGTTCCTATGCATGATACACGACTTTTAGAAGTATATAAACGTGTATATATATATATATATATATGTACATATATATATATATATGTATATATATATACACATATACGTATATATATATATTCATATATATACATATATATATACATATATATAATAAATCATCAAAGAAAGGTAAATACAGTGTTTAAT